CTGTGTGATCCCACCCCTAATGGACAGGTTGGGCCCCGGGATGCACAGACCTCACCAGCAGTGGCCCCCCCCCAGGACACTCTGCTCCCTGTGCAGATGGGACCGGTTCGAGGGGGCTCCCAATGGCTTTGCCAGGGGAGGTGATTCCCTGATGGGACCGGCTCAGCCATGGGGAGGTGCCCGTCTGGCTCACCTGGCCGGGCTGCTGCCTCTGGCCCGTGGGCTCCAGCTGTGGGTTTGGGCGTAGCCCGGTTCAGCCCGTTGCCCTGCACCGTGTTTCAGGAGTGGCAAGTGTGGAGTCCTGGCCCCAAATGAGCAAGGTGAGTTACCGCATCGGAACCAGGGCTTTATTTGTGGCAGTCCGGAGCCCTGGCCCCGCTTTCATTACAAATGAAGCACTGACTGGAAGGGACTAGCTGGGTGATCAGATACCGGCTGGGAGCACATGCTTGCCCCAGTGAGGGGGCTCCAGGTGCTGTCCTCTCTCCCGTGAAGTTGTGCTCCTCCTGAGGGCATGGGCCTACACCGTACAATGGGGGCTGGTTCTGTCCTGCAGCATGGGGCACTGGGCAGTGCCCCAGGGCGCGGAGGGAGGGGCTAACACTCCCTGGGCCTCAGTGCCCGTGCTGCGACACAGCGTGTGATGGGCTGTGATGTGGCCCAGCCAGGCGTGGCTCCATGGCACTGCCATCCGGGTGCTGCTGTGGGGGCACCGGGGTGTGTGTGTGTGTGTGTGTGTGTGTGGGGACACGAAGTTGGAGTTGGGGGCCTCGGTCCATTTCCTGGCATAAGAAGTCCCCCACGCCACATGGGCAGGGGAAGGGGGCAAACGCCCCATGGGGGCAGATAGCAGCGATTGTGACCCGCCCCCTCTCCCCGTGCTTGCCCAGGGCTGCCTGAAGGAGAAGACCCTGGAGAACTTGGAGAAGTTCGTGGTGAAAGACGTGAGTGTTGCATCCCCCAATTGGAATGGCTGCGCTCCACCCCACCAAACGGGCCTAGAGGGGCATAACACCCATGCCCTGCAGGGTCGACATGGCCCCCATGCATCCTTCCTGGGCATCCCCTCCCCTGGGCATTATGGCCAGCATGGTTCTCAAACCTGTCCTGCTCCCCCAGCCCCCTGGGACCAGACTGGCTCCCTCCCTTCCCACACTGAGATCTCTCTCAGGCTTCCTTCCTGCAGTGTGTGTGTGGTGGGGGGGAGGGGGAGAGCGGTTTGAGCAAAACCATCCCCCTACTGTGTGAGTGGGGCCACCCCTGGCCAACGACACCCCTCCCCGCCCAGCTGCCCTTCCTAGGTTACTGCATTACCCAGTGATGAGCCAGCCGGGCCAGGAACCCTGCTCCCCCAGCTCTGTGGACGCAGGCCTCATCTGCCGGAACTCCCCCAGCTAGAGCTGGTCCTAGGACCCAGCCCCAGTGGGGCACCATTGCCCCCTTGCCCGGGCCTGCAAAGCCAGCCCCTTGCATGGATCTCGTTCTGCGCAGCCCCGTGTGCCCCTGCTGCTGAGCCGCATGAAGGAAGCGGGGAAGGTTTTCCTGGCCACCAACAGCGATTACAACTACACAGATGTGAGTACCCAGCCCTCCCCCAGGGCCCCCGGGAGCTGGTGTGGCCTGTGCTCTCAGCTTGAGCCAAAGCCGTTTGCCCCAGCCTTGCTGCCCCACCTGTGGGTCTGCAGCACTCTCTGCTGGTGGGGGGCACCTTGAGCACCCAAGCTGAAATACATGCACGGGGCGGGGGGAGAGCGCCTGACAAAGGTGGTTCCCCTGGAGGTGTGTTGGGGGGGCTGCGTCGTCTCCCTTGTCAGATAGCATCAGGGCTCACCTGCAACAAACAGAAAGGGGATGGGGCCCTGTGGTTGTCTCTGGGTCGCTAGCTCCCAGCCCATGCGGCCCAGTTTCACCATGGGGGGTGCTCTGGGGCTTGGCCTGGCCCGAATTAAGAGCCACGCTGCTTTAAAAATCAGAAAGTGGCTCCCAGCAGCCACGCCTGTCTCTGAGTCAGAGTGGAAGGGACAGCCCTCTGTATAGCGCAGACCCGTCTCCAAGTCAGTGACCAGCATTAGCCCAAAGCGTTTCAGGAGAGCCAGCTGTGGAGAGCCACCGGCAGAGAACAGGAGGGACCGAGGGTCCCCAAGTGCGAGATGCTCCATGATCCCAGCAAAGGACCTGCACCCCATACTGTGCAGGACAGAGCTAGACTCAAGGCCTGGGGGCAGTAAGTGAGATGTATCCAGGGCCCCCTGTGTGGGGCTGGTGCCATGCTGGGCAGCCTCTGTGTGATCACAGCACTTGCTGCGCGGCTCCCCACTCCCTTGGGAGAGCCCGGGCCCCCGTCAGCCAGCCCGGCTTTCAGTGCATGTATTCTGAGTGCTGTTCATCCGCTGCCCCTAAGCAGAGCGTCTTGTGCCAGCGCAGCTGATGCCAGCTCCACGCTTGTGTCTTTGGCAGGCGATAATGACGTACTTGTTCACCTTGGATCCGGGAGACAAGGTGAGTCTGGATGAACCCCAAGGGGGAACTGTGGGGGAGGGAGGATGGCTCCTGGGCTGTGGCTCTCGAGGTGGACTGGGAGATCTGGCCATCACCGTAGTATCTGACCGCTGCTCCTGGACACTGGTTGCAAGGCTGGGATTGGTTGCAGGAAAACCGAGTGCTAGCGATGTGGGGTGGGAAGTCTGTCTCTGACCTAGTGGGCCCAGACCTGGGAGCAGCCTGAGCTGCGACTTTGAAGGGTGCGTCCGCCGGGCCCCTGACCTGGTGTCTCCCTGCAGGTCCAGCGCCCATGGCGCTCCTATTTTGACCTGATTGTCGTGGATACGCGCAAGCCACTCTTCTTCGCCGAGGGGACCGTCCTGCGGCAGGTCAACACGGTAGGGCCCCCACTGTAGTGATTTCCCCGGAAAGCCAGACAGGGCCTGCTGGCAGTGCAAGACTGGAGCAGAGCATGGGTCTGGTTACCCCACAATCCTGGTTCTGCTGTTCCAGGGGCAAAGAGACCGCCCTACCGAGCACTGTGGGAAGTGGGTGGCACTTGCCTGACCTCTGCAAGGGGTCAGTTTCTGTGCCCTGAAGCATGAGATTAGCTGGCATAGCTGCAAATGTTAGTCGTGCCCGTGGATTAGCCAGCCGGGCACTGGAGCTGGAATTCCATGTGCTGGCTGGTTAGGCTGGGGCCACCCAGCACGTGGTGCGTTGGATGGGTTGGAAATGGCTTGTGCTCTGCTGTGGGCACTTCCAGCCCTCGTCTTAGTGCCCTTCCTGCACTAGCTGGCTTCTGCCATGCATGGGGTGCAGCAAAGGCCTCTGCCTCCATCCTGGTCCCACCAACCACGCCGAGGGCTGCTTTCTCCGTCCCTTCCACCCAGCAGCCATTGTCGGAGTCATTGAGTGGCGTCGGACTGGATCCCACGCAGCACGCTCCTCACTCGCTCTCTGGATCAGCCAGCAGAGTGCATGGCCCTGACCCTCCCTCATCTGGGGACCCCCAGACCTGCCGAGTGGGCCCCGTGTGCTCAAGAATCCCGCCCCCTGTGCATTACTCCTCGCTGTCTGCCCAGTATAACACCCTGCCTTTACTTCCAGGACACAGGGAAGCTGCGTATCGGGACCTACACCGGACCCCTCCAGCACTGCGCTGTCTATTCTGGAGGTAATGCCTGGTGCCCCACCTGCCCCCTGGCCCAGGGCCTCTAGCTGCTCTGCTCGGCCCCCAGGAATCCTGCTGGGACCTTCCCCCAGCACATGGTCTCCTGGGGGCAGAGTGTGCCCTCAGGCCACAGGTGCTGATTTCCGGTCCTCTCACCCCAGGCTCCTCGGACATGGTGTGCGACCTCCTGGGGGTGAAGGGCAAGGACATCCTCTACATCGGGGACCATATCTTCGGGGACATCCTAAAGTCCAAGAAGAGGCAGGGCTGGCGCACCTTCCTGGTGGTGCCCGAGCTGGCCCGAGAGCTGCACGTGTGGACAGAGAAGAGTGGTGAGGAGTGCCCTGGCCTGGGCGCCGGGCGGGGGAGCATGGGACAGGGGTGGTGTCCCAGGGCTGGGGGGAGAGGTGGCGGCAAAGTGCTGGGGAGCCCTAAAGCCAGTGCCCAGGCCAAGGGAAGCATTAGAGCCATGCCTGGTTCCCCCTTCCTCCCTCCCCGATGGGGAACCTCTTCCCCCTGCCTTCTGGGGCTGTGTACCCCCCTGAGCAGGTACAGACTAAGAGCAAAGCACCAGGGACCTGCTAAGAATCTCTCTGAAGCTTCATGCCATGGGACAGCCCAGAGAAGGCCTGAGCTGAGGTTGATCCTCTCACCATGGGCTCCTGGGAGTGCTGCATCCAGCTGTGGGTCTGGCTCTGGGGTCTGGGCCAGCTGTCCTTGGCCTGTGCTGGGGTGCAACCCCCGCCCCAATTCCACTGATCCTAAGCTGTGCTGAGCTTCATGCAGCTGGGGAAAGGATCCGCGTCTGACCCCCAGGAGGGCCGGGGCTTCGGGAGCCAGGACTGACAGAGAATGTCACTCCTAGATAACCACCCCCCCTGTGCCTCTCCCCTCACCCACTTCTGCTTGCAGAGATCTTCGAGGAGCTGCGGAGCCTGGACGTGCTGCTGGCGGAGCTCTACCAGTAAGTGGAAGGAGAGAAGCTGAGCTCTAGCTGCGTGGCGGAGCCTGAGTGCACAGAGGTGGGGGAAGGTCACTTGGTGCTTGGCTGGGGGCTCAGACCCCAGAGCCAGACCCACAGTTTGGTTCCTCCCCGCCACAGAGCCCAGAGCTGCAGGGAACATGTCAGCTTCTCTCTCTGCAGCTGGAACAGGGCAAACCTGTGGCTGTCTGACTGAATAACCAAGGGGAAGGGCTCTCTGGTGCGGAGCCTATGCCAGCAGCTGACCAGACCCCTGCGTGTTCGGGGCAGTGTAGGGAAAGCAGACTTGGAGAGGGAGCACTGGTAGGGTGACCAGATAGCAACTGTGAAAAAACGGGACATGGAGTGGGGGGTAATAGGCGCCCATATAAGAAAAAGTCCCAAAAAACAGGACTGTCCCTTTAAAAACGGGACATCTGGTCACCCTAAGCACTGGTAGGTTGTAAGCTCCCTGGGGCCAGGCCCTGTGTTCTGTGTCCATGCAGCACCTTGCACGGGGAATGAGAAATACTGATCAAGACCAGGATTGGGAGCCAGGACTCCTGGGTTCTATTCCCAGCTCTGGGAGGGGAGTGGGGTCTAGTGGGTTAGAGCAGGACTCCTGGGTTCTATTCTTAGATCTGCCACTGATTCACTGTGTAGCCCCTTCCTCACGGTGTGCCTCAGTTTCCCCATCTGTGCAACAGGGATAGTGATCCTCTGTTGGCCTATGTCACTGTGTCCGCAAAGTGCTTGGACCTCCTTAGGCAATGGGCTCGCGCTCCCCTGGAGTGCCCTGGCTGGGTCACGTCAAAGTGGCCCTTCCTGCCCCCTTGTCCATCATCTATTGTTTGTGTGGTGCTAGTGCCTGGGAACCCCAGGCATGGACCAGGGCCCCACTGGGCCAGGCTCTGTGCAGACACTGATCAGCTGTTGCTCTCTAGCCAGTGAGTCCGAGAGCAACAAGCCTGTCACGCTGCCAGCTTTGGAACGAAAGAGAAGCAGCCGCATCCCATCTCCCCATGAAACAGCAAAGGCGAGCAGCCGCCTTGCATGCCAGCCAGCAGTGGGGGAAGGTGCCAGACGCTCTGTGGGCCAACTTCCCCCTGGAGTGAGCTCAGAGTGACTCAGCGGCAGCAGGTTGAGGCCTCTCTGTGCGCCTGCGCTGTTCTCTGCATTGCTGGTGCCGGAGAGTCACCATCTCCGCGGCTGAATTTGCTGGGCCCATTGTGTACGTGAGGTTTTGTTGCTAGTGAATCCAGCTGGAGGGGGAGAGTGTGAATTCTAGACTCGCCTGGATGCGAATAACTGCAGGGAAGGTTGCGAAATGGTGGGTTAGACCCCACCCCATTAGTACACACTCACTCATTCCTCTTGGGCTAGCGCTCTCCAGCCCGAGCTGGTTCCTCTATTCCAGGGGCAGCCCCACTGCTTTCAGCCAAGGCTGACCTGACTTAGGCCTGGTCTCCACTACAGAGTTAGGTCAGCATAAGGCAGCTTACGTCTACACTACAATGTTGCTCCCGCCAATGTAAGTCACCCACTACACCAAGCTAATAACGCCACTTCCGTGAGAGGCATAGCACTTAGGTCGCTGTAGTTAGGGCAACACACTGTCAATGTAGCCACTGCATTATTGACCTCGCCTGTTGGCTGTAAGCCCCATGCCAGGCTCGCCGCTGGAGCCCCCTGCCTTCGGGTGGGGCTGACAGCTCGGGGCGGGGGTGCTCCAGCGGTGAGCAAGGCACAGGGCTGACAGCTCAGGCTGTCCGCCCCCCACACTGCCCCATTTGTCAGTGCAAGCGCTCCTGGTGAGGATGTGCACTCCTGGTAGAAGGAGGACAGCGTGGACATGAAAAACTGCGGTAATTACTGCGATGGCTGTAGGTCGACTTAACTTTGTAGTATAGACAAGGCCTTAACCTGGTGGAAGTAGAAGGAGAATCTGCCTTTGGCTCTGCCCCCACGGGTCATGTGGCTGGGGAAGGTGTTGGGTAGGGTTACCATACGTCCGGTTTTTCCCGGACATGTCCGGCTTTTCGGCAATCAACCCCCCGTCCGGGGGGAATTGCCAAAAAGCCGAACATGTCTGGGAAAATGCCGGCCGGGCACTTCCCCTCCCGTGGCGGCTCTGCTCCTCCCCTGACTCTTCGGCTCTGTTTAAGAGCCGAGTGCTACGGGCTTTAGGCAGCCCCCATGCCTCCGGACCCTGCGCCACCGGAGCCCAGGAGGGGAAATGCCCGGCCGGGGGCGCAGGGTCTGGAGGCATAGGGGCTGCCCGAAGCCCAAGCACTACTGGCTTCACGGTTTGCCGGGCAGCCTCCAGACCCTGCGCCCCCGGCTAGGTGCTTCCCCTCCCGGGCTCCAGCTGCGCAGGGGAAGCGCTGGCTGGGGGTGCAGGGTCTGGGGGCTGCCCGGCAAACCATGAAGCCGGTAGCCCTTGGGCAACCCTTTTCGTGTGGCTGGGAGTGGGAGGGAGGAGGGGGCGGAGTCAGGGTGGGGAAGGGGCGGAGTTGGGCGGAGTTGGGGTGGGAAATGGGCGGGGCCAGGGCCCATAGAGGGTCCTCTTCTTTTTTTTATTTGTTAAATATGGTAACCCTAGTGTTGGGAGATCTGGTTTTTGAGCTGTGAATGGGAAACCCCACAAGCACCCCCCACCCCGCATGTGAGGAGCGATGGTCACCGAGCCAGCTAGCCTCCCAAGACTCTGCAATGCCCTGGGTAGGCAGCCCAGCGGGCACCTTCCCAGCAGTGACCTCGCCCGTTCCACACTGCTCCCCTTACGTAGAGATGCAGCTGCAAGTTAGACCGTGCGGCTCTGTGAGGGGCGGGGTACACTCAAATGGGTGTGGCTGAGCAAAAGCCTCCCTAGGCACATTCTCTAGCTGGGGATGGCAGAAAGGGGTTGGGAACGCTCAGCGTTCTGGATGTTTGGAATTGCACATGAGGCCCCTCCAGGGAACATCCCCATGTCGGAGGGCCTGAGCCCTGGCACCTGAGGCACGACAGGGAGGGGGTGTGAGGCGGCTTTAACCCCCTTTGGAGCTCCCTGAGTTCTGGGGCCATGATGCACTGTAAGCAAGAGACGCTCTGGGGCTGCTCTAACATACATGCTGGGATGCAGAGAATACCCATAATGCCATGCACTGTGTACAGCTGCTCTCTGCCAGCCACGCAGGCCCCTGCAATGGGGCTATTCCCTGGGGACCCTTTCTCCCCCTCCTAAGGCCTCCAAGTGTTGCTGGAGTGTCCCTGAAGGTTAGGCCCCAGGTCTGGGAGAGGCGCTCGCTGTGCCAGGCCGTCCCTCTGACGCCTGCTCATTGCTGTCACACTGTGCAATCTGTCGGGGGCCTGATGCTTTCCCTCGCAGAGCCTCGGAAACCATCAACCCCTTGTTAGCACTGAGCGAGGGCTGCGTCATGACCCATCCCGGAGTCTGGGAGCACAAAGGGGCAGGGCCTCAGTCCTGTCCCTCGTGTCAGTTACACCCAGGTGGAGGGGTGGGGGGTGGGATGCCCTCCTGGCATGAGGGGGGCTCTGGGGCATCTGACACGCACTTGGCAGAATCAGCCCGGGTCTGGATGTTAACTGGACCGCCTTGTGGGCATGTAGCAATGGCCCCTTCTGGCTCTTGTTCAGTCCAGAGCCCTGTGCAGGGAGCGGCTGGGAGGATGGAGGGGCTGAGACTGCCCCCTCCAGCAACACTCACCCTGGTGCCGTGCTGTGCTCTCCTCAGGCCCTTGGACAGTGGCAGCAGCGAGCGCCCGGACATCAGCTCCATCAAGCGCCAGATCCAGGTACCCAGCGCTCTTGGCTCAGGGAGGGGCTTTGGGGCCCTGCCACTTGTTTTAAGAGCTGAGGGAGTGAGAGCAGAAACTTGCTTCCTGTTCCCTCCATGCCTCTGGCAATGGGGTGGGGAGGCAGATGTGAGGGGAACACTGTCAGCTGGTGCTCCTGGATCATCCTGCTCCCCCACCAGGGCAGTGAGCAGCAGCCCAGCCCAGCCCCCAGGGCCTGGCTTCCTGGCCCACAGCAGGTCCCAGCTGGGTCACAGAATGATCTCTGCTTCCTTGTGTCTAGTTATAGCTGCCGTTCAGGGGGGGGGCAGCCTGGTGCTGGGGCCACAAGTTCACTTCTGATCCCTTTCCCACATCAGAAAGGCTTGTGTGCCGCCTCCTGCTGTTTGCTGGTGCTGTGTCTCTGCTCTGCAGAAGCAGACACCCAAATCCTCTGCTGCCGGAGCTGATCTCTGCATGGAGGGGCAAAAGGAATGAACATCGTAGGTGCCAGGCTGGTGCCAAAGGGGCAGCAAAATCTGAGCTACCTCTGCCAGGCAGAAGAGTGACTCTCTGCTGTGGTGATGTTTGAGCTTCCTGGCCAGGAGGGGCTAGCACTGGAGGAAGCAGGCAGCGCCTGACACAGTAGGGTCTGGGGGTCCCTGGCAGGGATTCCCTAGACTTTGTTGGGCCTTGTGGTACATAGCCCTGAGCCTTGGCCAGTCCCCTGGAGCGTGCACCTGTGCCTGTTTTGATGTCTCTGTTGCGGTGTCTGTCCTATATCTGACTCTCCCTTTAAAAAAGGGTCCTACACTGACAGGCCCCCATCTCCTCCCTGGGGAGCCAGGGCAGGGCTGGGCCTCAGGCCATGCTGACTCACTTGCTGTCTCCTGCAGAAAGTCACCCACGAGATGGACATGTGCTACGGGAAGATGGGCAGCCTCTTCCGCTGTGGTTCCCGCCAGACACTCTTTGCCAACCAGCTGATGCGCTATGCAGACCTCTACGCCGCCTCCTTCATCAACTTCCTCTACTACCCCTTCAGCTACCTGTTCCGTGCACCGCCCGTGCTGGTACGCACTTGGCCAGGGCAAATCCGGGGCAAGGAGATGGGCTGGGTCCACAGGGAGCCTGGGTTAGAGAGGGAGATGATGGCCAGGACTCTGCCCTGGGTCAGTCCGGCTGGCCTGTCCTGGGAGCTTGGCCATTGTCCAGAGGGCAACTCAACAAGGCCATCCAATGGGATCAGGTTTGCCCTAGGCCAAGATGCAGCTGGCACTGCTGAGGGCAAGAAAGGCCTTGTGGTTCAGGCACTGAGCTGGGAGCCAGGAGAGCTGGGCTCTATTCCCAGCCCTGCCAGGGACTCTCTGGGCCTCAGTTTCTTCAGCAGGCATGCTGCTATTGACCCCTCTTGTGAGGCTTCATTAATATGTGGGAGATGCTTTTGAAGCCCTCTATGGAAGGAGATGCTTAAAGGCTGGGAGGTGCCTCTAGGCATGGGGGGAGAGACCACTGGGTCCATCCAGTCGCTGCTTCCCTAGATCTACCCTGGTACAGCTCACAAGGTGGGAAGTGTAGAGCTGGAGAAGCTCAGGCTCACTCCTGGGAAACAAAGTTCAGGGCCCAAAATCTGTGTGCAAATGCCCTCCCTGCGTCCACAGATGCCGCATGAATCGACTGTAGAGCACGTGCACCTGGAGCTCAGGGAGTCGGGCTTGTTAACGGGGCATCGGCTGCACCAGCTCAGCTTCCACGGCCACCAGGTGGGTGGGTGTCGGTAACACTGCCAAGCGCCTCTGGGGCTTCTCTTCTCCCTGCCTGGGGGTGGCTGCACTGTTGACCTTGTGCTCTTTCACCTCCGACCTTTCCACCTTCTATGTTCATTGCACCTGGCTTCTCTCTCCTCTCACCCTCTGGGCTGATCTGCCTCACTCTCCCACTAGGGGGCATCAGACGCTGTACTGGGCTCCTGCTGCCCCTCACTGCCCACTTTGTCTGCCCAGCCACCCTGCATCCAGCCCACGGGCTACTCCTTGAGCATGTCCTAGCCACCAAGCAGCCCCTGCCATGGCATCAGCACCCTGAAGCTGGGGCTGCTCTAGCTTTTTCCAAAGGCCTCCCACCATTGCAGCTCCATGGATGGTAGCAGCAGTTGGAGTGGGCATGGGCCTTCTTCCCCTGCCCAGAGTGGGTAAAGCCTATGCCAGTCTACACTAGTGCTGCAGCTAGCCCTGGTGGATTTCCTGACCAGTGCTGGCTAGACCAGCTCTCTCCACCCTTCTATCTGACCTTTGAGGGTTGTGGTAGCCCTTGTGGGGCAGGGCCGAGCATACCTCAGCCATGGTGTGAAGAGTAAACACGTCTAGCAAAACTAATGCAGCAGCTCCCGAAAGGCACAGACTGTGTACCAGACTCAGCGCGCAGCAGCCTCAGGCGCTAAATGGGCTGGGCCAGCAGTGAACTCAATACAGCCCCAGAG